CATGCTGACTTTCTGTTCTTTTGAATGGAAAAAGGTCTGGAACTTTAGTAGATCCAGATGACAGTGCCGTTAATAAGACGTGGCATTTTTCTGCTTCCTCCTGGAAGACATAGGTTTCACTTTGTTGCTGAGACTTTTGCCGAGATCCATTATTTTTTTCTTCTCCGAGATCTTTCTGATATTGTAAAGAAACGTGTTTCTTTACATTAGCTCTTCTCTTTGGCTGCTGCATTAAATCTAATGAAAGATGAAAGTACTTTAAAGACTCTGTCCTCAGTGAGGGGTGGGGGGAAGGCAGGTACCTGCACTTTGTTGTTTTGTTTTTTTTTTTTCCCTCTGCTAAATTAGCATCTCTGACTCTAGTGAGAGAAGTGTTCTTCTGGTTTGGAAGTAATCTTGAGGGAGGAATTAGAGTCCTGGAAATCTCCTTCCTATTGGAGTAGTAGGTGAAATAGCTAGAAAGGCCAAGCACCTTGGGGTTTGTATAGCTTATGATCTTTGCTATATTCAGTTTTAAAAGCAGTGAAAGAAGGTCACTTCACTCTCCCCTATAAATGTACTGCAGTGGGGAGTGTTAGGAGAATTCGAGTGCCCCAGTCTGCCGCATGTTCTCTGGGGATGTCTTTCAAATAGGAGTTAAACTTCCAGGGATGTAGGCTTAGGCAGGTGCCTAGCGACTGGGCTAGAAAACAAAGCTGTTCTGGGTGTGCCCAGGAAACCTTTCGAAACCAAACAAGGAGATACCTAAAGAACGTAAACACATCAGAGAATAAGCGGGTTTTCTAGATGGCAATTTTGGACCTGGATAATTTTTCTAAGGTGACAGCTTGCTTAAGGTATTCTTTGCATCTGACATTCTGCCTAAAATGTTACAGCATTTTAGAGCAAAAATACCTATTATTTATTGAGCTGTCCAGCACACAGAACGCTGGAATTGCATTTAAATAAAGGCTATCATCAAAATGTAAGATGGCCTGACTTTGCAACCTCTGGAAACAAAGTTTAGAAAAGATAGTATATTTGTTAAGATAAATAGGGCTTGATCTCTAACCTCATCTTTATTGAGATTAATTTTTAAAAAAGCATGTAAGATGGTAATTTTACATTTTCTTTATTTTTTTATTTTAGTCTGTGTATAGTTCAGTGAAGTATGGCAAACAAGGTGATAAAATGCGTAGTGAACCGCTGGAAAAACTATTGCTAGTATAGAGCAGTAAGCCAAACATTTAATATACCCACAATCTACAAAGACACGCAGTTTTTGTCTTTGTTATATATTTATTGCCTCTGATGTGTATTTCTTGGTATTTAAGTATATTTAATTTTTTTAAATATAAGGAAAAATTATGAATATTTGCTTATACAAATTGATTCTACTCACTTTCTCTTGCATCAAAGAACATTTCCAATATTACTTCTCTTTGAAGCTTACTTCCCTCCAAGGAAAAATATTTGTATCCAATTTTAGACCTCCTTTCTCTTAACGTCAGTTAGTGATATAGTGTCCCTTTTCCTGCTGTTCCAATACAAGCCCCCATATGTGCTGAGGAGCCCTCTTCTGTGCCTGTTTCAGGATGATCTCAGCCACCTTGAACACTGCTTCAGCTGCATATGCCGTTCTAGCTGAGGTCTCCTGAGTGTCTTGTACGCTAGCACTGTGTTCTTTGTCTCTGCTGATACAGTCTCTGCCCAAAATATCCTATTATTTTATTTGTCTTTCTTACTGTTGTGTTAGATTAGGGCTGAATGGCTGGTTCATAGTCCTCTTGAGTGGTTTTAATTTGTTTTTAGTGCGTCTACACTGTAGACATACGTATCTAAGCTGATCACCCTGGATTCCTCCAGTAGCCTCAGAAGTCACTGGAGATCAAATTAGTGGAATCTAAGGCATGATTCATTTCATCTTAAAGAAGGTGTTTGACATAGGTTGAATGAATCACACCTTAAAATGCTTATTTTTCTTCTCTGACTGTAAGAAAAACAACTAGTGTCAAGGAGAGATTTAGACGTTTCAGATATCCAACTCAAGAGTAAAAATAGTTCTACTTGTGATTCAGAGTACTTTATTTTTTTATATGTCTTTACGTTTTCACTTCTTTTCTACTGCTCAAATATATTATTTTAATGTTATATTTTAGATCTCTAAGCATGTCTCAACTTTGTCTCTTCAGCACATTGACAGGCATTGGATTAAACACCGGACTAACAGGATAAAGTTATGTGATTAAATCTTTTTATAATATCTTACAGCTTTAAAATATATATATATTAAAAATCTTGTGCTTCTGGAGGTGTCTTCTGCAATGTCATCTTCAGAAGGTTCAGTTACTGGTTCTACAAAAGAATGCTTAACTAAAAAGTTAGGATTTCTGGTACCTTCTGAATTCCTGGACAACAGCTCAAGTTACAAAAGTCACCCTCTTGGCAGTTTTTCTTGGACACCACATGATTAATATGTTCTGCTTAGGCTGGAATGACTTTGTTTTGTCTTTACTTTTCAAATTAATCTTCTGAATTCAGCTTACAAATTTTATTAAGGTCTACAATACATTTTAAATTCAAGTTGAATAAAATCACATATGGACCTTATGTTTTCTTTTCTAGGGCATTTATTTAGAGAGAGAAAATTCTTTTAATCTGACATGTATGCTATCCATGTTTCATAGGAAATAACATAAAATTCTTAGGCAGTTCAGTTTATTATCTTCTAGTTTAAATTACAAGATTATTATTGTCATAGTTCTGGAATTACAATGAAGCAAGACTTTTTTTTGCATATTCTTTGCCATACTTTAATTAGTACAGGTGATTCTGTAGGAACTGTAGGCTAGTACCTATACCGTTTTATATTAAAGTTGGTGATTTTGTCACGTAAAGTTGAAAGTGACTGCGATGAAGTTAGGAAATTTACTCTGCTGTAAACACAGTAGACTGTAAGAACCCATCCCAGTTCCACAGGATAATATTCCAAATAGTGTTCCCACTTATTTTAATAGTGCAGATCAGAATAAACAGATAAGTGAATCAAGATAGAGCTAATGCATCCTTTGACTTATGGCAAATTTATTTACATATGCAGACACACACTCACATATACATCCCCATGAGCAGATTATTGGTCTGTCATTTCTTGTTTATGGTAGTTAGTTCACTTTGGTTTGGTTTGTCAACTTTAAAACTATCTACAGCTTAATGAATAGATGCAGTGAGCCCTGTGGTTATTAGGAGCTGAAAGCATATGCAGAATAAAGTGGTAAGAAATGATGCATGGGCTTCTCCAACAACATGTATATGTAAGATGCTTGTAAAATATTTTTATATCCTTAGATTAAAGCTGACTTAACTGAATTAAAGCATGTGTACTTTATATGTGTGATGACATGTATACACATACAGATATATATTGATATACAACCTGAATGTATGACTGAGCTGTGAATATTCAGGCTGGTAATCATATACTACAGGGATAATATTCTTGAGATAATACATAAAATGTATCCCAGTGATCAAATGAAACATAGCACTATAACTTCTCAGTTTCAAGCAGTGCTTAATGACAGTGCTGTATCCAAAGTTTCTCAGAACGTTAGTGTGGTACAACGTGTCTCTGTACTGCAAAGTGCTGCACTTAAAGCACTATTGCTAGCCAGTCCCAAAAAAATGAGTCGGGTCCTTTCTCTTCTCTCTGTTACCTTCTCCTCATATCTAAATCTGTGTCCACCACTTAGTCACTGCTACTCCAGTAGCAGAAAGTAGTATCTGCTCCAGCCAGTCTTTCACTTCAGTCTTCTGCTGTTATGATCCCTTTAAAGATTTCCATAGAAGGCACTGAGAGAACTTTGTTGAGAAGATTCACATTAATCACGCAGTAAGCTTGTACATGTGAAAAAAGAGCTCCATCACCTCAATTCAGGAGCCTGCCTTGATTACAATTACAAGTGGCTCTTCTGCATGACTTGAGCTAGCTAATTAAAATTCTCATTAAAGTCTGAGCCGTTGAAGTAAAGAGCCAATATATCATTTCTCACAGTTTTACAGTTTATATATTTTCAGCATCTAATAGCCTTTGTAGGGATCATTGCGTTCATTCATAAGGCTGTAAGTAGTTATATTCTGCTCCATATTTCCAAAAATATCCCTTAAATTTAGCATAATTGCAATATTCCGGACTCATAAAGCCTATCCAACAAAGTTCTCAGTGTACCTGCACATGTGGTTTCTGTTCAGTTAGCTAGTTAAGATGTAAAATTTTCCAGTCAACTGAAGACAACTGCTGTTGACTGTTTAGCCCCAGCTTCTGATGCATGTGGGCGCAGGACTCTTCTCTGTCTCAAAAGCTGTAAAGCTCCTTATGTTGTGTCAGACTAGGAACACAGGGCTCTTCCTCACCTATATTGTTCCTTGAGGGGCACCACATCTTCCAGACATCTGTTTTTCCAGTGTTGACAAAGTACTGCATATCTGAAAATAGCTAACCCTATTTTTATGTTTAACAGATAAAAATTAAGCACACATTTGCTTTTGTGCATATATATGTGGGAAGAGATACAGTTTAGAGATCTATATATAAATGCATCTTCATGAAGAGTGTAGTCAGAGGAACAATCTCTTATTTTTGGAGGCTAACTCAAGTTAAATAGTGCAATTTATTTTTTTTTCCATTTCATCTTTGTGGACTTCTAGCCATATCTGCACGCAGAACTGTTACACAGTTGTAGTGATAAAGGAATGTCATTCACACCGAAAACAGCTGGAAATCTTCAGTTTAGACTTACTAGCACTGCCCCCAACCATTCTGATGGGGAGCACTTTGTTGATTTGCATAGATACCCCTCAGAGGGTAGTGACCTCCAAACTAAAGAAAAACTGGCCTCATTTCAAGTATATATACTGTCCTTTTTATTTTTAATGTTTCTCTGTGTAGTGGATTAATGAGAATTGGAAGGTGTAGTGAACCTAAAGCTGTTTTTTAATTAAGTATTTTCACTTCTTTTCAGTATACATCTGCTCTGACCTATGATGCTGTTCAAGTGATGACAGAAGCTTTCCGTAATTTGCGTAAACAGAGGATTGAGATCTCCAGAAGAGGAAATGCTGGAGATTGTCTTGCAAATCCAGCTGTACCCTGGGGTCATGGTGTAGAAATAGAAAGGGCATTGAAACAGGTAGCTTCCCTGGAGTGAATGCTGGGATGAGTGCATGTGTGAAATTCTCTAGAAATGCTTGAAAAGAACCTTCCAGTCTCCTAACCTGCCTGGATCTTGCTGGGAATAATGTGGAAGTGAACTCCTCAGGAAAATATCTTATACTAAGATAATACATTGAGTATGGAAAACAGTCTCAACCAAGTGTTTTTGAAGTATCAGCAATCATTCATGGAAATACAAAATGTAATTTCTTAAAAGAAACAAAATTAATTCTCTACCACTTTCATCTTTGTTTATAGGTTCAGGTGGAAGGTCTAACAGGGAATATAAAGTTTGATCAGAATGGAAAGAGAATCAATTTTACAATAAACGTCATGGAACTCAAAAGTACTGGTCCTCGGAAGGTAATCTGAATTGTCTTACAGTGTCTTTAAAGGTTTTACCATGCTAAGCAGTGGATTGAGGTAGGTAATGAAACACTATAAGTTAAGCAAAGTGTGAGTTGTGATAATATTTATTCATAGGTGTATTCTGCAGTGGTCATGCAGAAGTAAAAATACGTATTATTTCTTTCTAACAAATACAAGTTGTTATTTCTGGTAAGTACTACATAAGAGTAGTTTCCTTTCAGTTTTGTGCATTGAAGTTTTTGTTTTCTGGTCTGAAATGCTAAATGTGAGCCAGTAATTGGGGAAATATTCTTCCGAATAACAAATGCAGAATACAACTTTTCAGTGATGTTTCTTTAAATGTGATTGTCTTTCTGCTCTAAGTCCAAACCTTTCAGGAAAAGCCAGTTTCTCATGTCATCTGAATGTTGAGTATTTCATAACCCTTCCAGTCCAACACTGTGATGTTGATACTAAAACCTGTTAATATGTGAATGAAAATGGTATACCCGTATTAGACAAATTAATGTGAACAGATGTCATTAGTTCAGTCTTGTTACTATTTGTTATAGTCTTTAACTACATAAATAGAAACATTTGCACTGGTAAATTCATGGCTAAAGTAGTTCTCTGTGAGCATAAACTAAGGGCATAGTAATAACGTGCTTTAGCTTTTTTATGAAAGTTCATATTCACTGGTGTCTGTGCATCCTATAAACTCTTTAGATTGGATACTGGAGTGAAGTGGACAAAATGGTTGTGAATCCTCTCGATGGCCCTCTTGGAAATGAATCTTCAGGACTAGAGAATAAGACTATTATTGTCACCACTATTTTGGTAATTAACCTCATATTTTCTCAGAAGACCATCTGTCCTACAGTGATTTGTTTCTTGTCATTATGTTAGTTATTTGAGGTTGTGACCTGTTACTCATGATATATAAATAAAATCTGGAAATTAAGGCTGCATTAGTTAAGGAAATTAAGGCTGCATGTGATTCAGTATGTGGTTTTGTTCTGTAGAAGAAAAATGGTGATTGATTGAACCTCCTAGCAAGTTAAAAATTTTAGACTTGAAAATGGAAATGAAATACTTGCTTTCAAAGGAGAGAACTTTGTTTGAGAGGCAGAACCGTAGTATTAGTTTTAGAGAATGGATTTTGTAAAGCAGGAAGGACTGGTTCTTATGCTTCATAATTGTGGCTGCTATGGACTGTTGAAGTGTAAAATAAAACATTAGAAGTTGTATTCTAGTTGTCTAGAAAATAATGTGTACTGTCATAGAAAAGCATTTTTCTGTAAGTTACACGGCTTCTTGATCAGTTTGGAGAAATCACAGGCTAGCATAGGAATTTTGCTGGGTGCAAGAATAGTTGGGTAACAACTAAGCAATGAGGAGATACATTACTTTTAATATGACTTATGACTCATCTCCAGTTTTGCTGATGATAGAACTTTACTGCATAGTTATAGATATCTTACCTATTGTTTGTGTGGTAACTCAATAAAAGCGTAGCGTGGAGAGCTTGAAGTGTTTTCCCATGGAGGGGTGTGGTTGTGAAACAGGAAAGAATTCTCTTCTATTAAGACAACAACAAAAGCAACTAAATACCTTTGCCTTCTTCCATCCAAACTCTATGAGAGAAGGAAACTGATTTTGGAACTTGCTCTTTGTTCTCTGAATGCATTACTCCTGTTAACATTCATGGTCGTTATTAACATACTTCTGGGAATCACTATACCTGTAAGTATTGTTATTTGTATATGACTGTGGAGAATGCAGCTTTTAAATGTGTTAAAAGTATGTCACATTAATAATTAACAGCTAACATGTACATAACATGTATGATTCAGATGTTATTTTCTCTCTTTGTTTCACATTCTTAAAGGAAACATTAATCTATGAAGTGTACAGCTGATACATCTGTCTCTTTACCAAATGGCTAAGGCAAGTTCTTTCTGTGCAGGAGTCCCCATATGTCATGATGAAGAAAAATCATGAAATGCTTGAAGGAAATGATCGATATGAGGGCTATTGTGTGGACTTAGCTACAGAAATTGCTAAACACTGTGGATTCAAATATAAGCTCACAATTGTTGGGGATGGCAAGTATGGGGCAAGGGATGCAGACACGAAAATCTGGAATGGGATGGTTGGAGAACTTGTTTATGGGGTAAGAAAATATTTTATAATAAAACCATTAAAGACGACTGATGGGAGGAGTGGGATTTGGTTTAGTTTTCTCTGTGGAGTAGAGGAAGTCTATCTAAATCCTTTGATATAATTAGTAACTTGAGTTGGCATGAAAAATTTTGGAAGTAAAGCTTGGAATTAGATTCCAAAATGCAAATAAAGTTGGAGGGGAGTTGAGTGCAGGTTTCATCCTTCTGACCAGGTGAAAGGCAAAGTACTTTACTAAGACTTTGGAATGTCGTATACTTTTAAAAGGACATGTGTAAAAAGGGGAGCTTGGAAATATGCCAACCATATGGTTATATGTAATTTAGTAATGAGTTTCAACTGAAAAATTTATGAAATTCTCCGTAGGACATTTTTCATGAAAAGAATGTTGCCAGTGTCTAGACTGTCCTATTTTTCATTTATGAAATGCAATAGAAACTAAGCCATTCTTTGTTCTGATCATTGGATTAGCTATTATTTGTGTTTTATTTCCTTTACAGAAAGCTGATATTGCAATTGCTCCATTAACTATTACATTGGTGAGAGAAGAGGTGATTGACTTCTCAAAGCCCTTTATGAGCCTGGGGATATCCATAATGATCAAGAAGCCTCAGAAGTCCAAGCCGGGAGTGTTTTCCTTTCTTGATCCGTTAGCATATGAAATCTGGATGTGCATTGTTTTTGCCTATATTGGGGTCAGTGTAGTTTTATTCCTGGTCAGCAGATTTAGCCCATACGAGTGGCACACTGAGGAATTTGAAGATGGAAGAGAAACGCAAACTAATGAATCAACTAATGAATTTGGGATATTTAATAGTCTCTGGTTTTCCCTGGGTGCCTTTATGCAGCAAGGATGCGATATTTCGCCAAGGTTGGTTACTCACCCATTTCAACTTTGTGCATTTTTGGTCTCGGCCGTCTCAGCGAGAGGAGGTTCATGGTGCATATATTTTCACTCTCGGAAAGAAGTTAATTACTATGTGTTTTCCCTCCCTAAAATCACAAAAGTCCTTGAAATAAAAGCAGTTGTCTATGACATAGGGTCATCATGTTTTTGATCGATATTGTCTTAAGGTCGATCATACATTTGCTAAGTGAAGTTATATACACCATGCAGAGACTGTAAAATGCATAAGGTTCAAGTCATTCCATGCCTTCTTGGAGGGGTACCGTGTTTTTGCTGCATATTCCCATTTTACAGTTGACAGTGCATATGGTTCACAACAACTGTAATGGGAAAAAAGGGTAACACAGTAGTCGCAAACTACACACACAGCACTTTCCCTCTAAAACTCGATATCATAACACAGTTATTAACCCAGTGTTTTCCTACAGGAGAGCCTTGAACTGACATAAAAATCACGTGATGGCTCTAATTTCATGTGAATAGTTGCAAAACACTGCTGTTTTTGCATGGCCTAGTTTTAGAAAAGTCACAAAGGATATCACTAAAATGAATTTCAAGGTCCAGTTTATAAGTGCTTAATTCCTCATGGATTTTCACTTACTTTATTAGGGGCAACTGTAAAGCACTTGAGTTAATTCCTTTGCAGCTCATTAAATATTCTATTTCCCTTGTGCACAAGTTCTTCTAGCCTTGATTCAGCAAAGTGGTAAGTAGATAGGTAAATAACTACTTGCTGCTTGAAGGAACTACAGTGACAAGTGAAATAGGACAACTGCGTTTAAGGAAATCAAACCAGAAGACCTACTTAATTATACTAAGCAATTTGACTTTCTTCTACACCTCCTAAAGTAAGTCAGGGAGCAGGTCAATTTCTAGTGACTCTAGTGGCTAGTATGCAAAATAAATAACACCAAGGGAGCATTTCTTAGATAGAAGTTGTGCATCCCAAGAGGCAATAGCAGGTTTTCAAGTTGATCTACTGCAGAAATAGCAGAGCATTTATTATATACAAGAAACAAGACAAGGAAGAGAGAGACAGTTGTTTCAGGTCATGAGAAGCTGTGTTAAGTTCAGTCCTTTGGGGGTTTTGTATTGATTACACACTTAACAGGTTTAGTTGTTTGCAAAGTCCTCTATTAGCTACAAAACTATTTTTATTGAATCAAGGCCACAGTAGAATAACAATCTTTTTCTTTATTATTGTTTTACTGGCTATTAAAGCATGCCAGTTTTTGTGCATGGTTTGATAACTTTCGGAAGATGAGGTAAGAATAACGATAGTAAATGGTAAATGTAAAAGGTGCATGAAACTCTAATAATTTTGGAGATTCAACATTTAGTTTCAGTAAGGTGTTTAACAGCACTTCATTACAAGCATATTTTTGAGAAAGCGGCTAGTTTGTTTATTCTCTGTTTATTATAAAAATAGAAGAGGTCTGAAAACACCTTAGTTGTTTCTGTTCTTGCACCAGAACCATGACTATGGAATCTGAACTCCCTGCAAATGAATTAGAACAGATATGAAAAGGAATCTCTTCGACATCTGCAAAATATCCTTGTGATGTTAAGTTTTGCACTATCATTTCTCTAAAAGGACAACCAATGTAAGAATCTTAGTGTAGACAAGTAACTGGGGCTTCCTGACTCTGAAATAGAAGGTGGTGCTGAGTAAAACTGGACCACCTGGAAACTGATCTGCAACAGCAATCCCCATGCTGCCACATAGCACCGACACAACAGAGTAGAATAGTGATATTATAATGGTAACGTAGCAAAGTTTTCCTCATCTTTTTTGAGATGTGAGCGTACTCTCAGTACTGCCATGTATACCTTTGTAAGTATAAAGTATGGTGCACAAATTTAGATAATTCTACACAGAAATTGCTATTTTAGTATTTAATGATCTGATGAGTGAGATGCTTGTAAAATTGTGGGTTCATACTAGCGTATAATTATCAATCTTGAGAAACTTCTTCAAATGCACGTTAAAAAAATATATTATTTATTTAACTGGGACAGACCTTATGGGAAAATTTTGAATACAAATTACACTCAAAAAAATTTTACTTATAAAATGTCCTGTGGGAACATAATGTCTGGTTTGGCATTGAGCTTATTCTTTTTTTACAAAGTTGGTAGCGATGCTGTTTGACAGACCATGGGCTTTTGAAGATTATTATCATTTATAGCAGATGGCATCAATACAATATAAAGTGCCATAAAATCAGCAGTTATTAAATATACATATTGAGAGATTTTACCTTGCAAATACATATTTATCATATAATTCAGTCTTTTAATTGTAGAATTATTTTGTATTCAGATTACCTCCATGTCAAAATAAATACATAATATTTTTTAAAGGTGACAGAAAGCACGTTTGCAGAATACATCTCAATTTTGAAGGAACTTGAAATAATTTCTTTTCTATGGTCCTTTTTAACAACATATTCTGGACCTTATCTGATTTGATTTTCATGTAGTAGAGTGAATTAGTGGGTCTGTTGTGACATGGAATAAGTCTTTTCATGTCTGAATTAAAACTGATTTTTTTTTTTTTACAGTAGCAATTAGGAAAAATAACTTGTCCAGAATTGGTTCTATTTATTTTTGTTCCCAGTTTGATAAATCAGCTGTACATATCTATCATTTTTTAAGAGGTGTATACATATATATAGTCATATCTATATATCTTTTGTCAGAATTAGTTTGAAATCTTATTCACAATACAGTGGGCTGGGTAAGTGATACATGATTTGTTTGCTTAATAGATAGAGGAGATACATCAAGACATATCTAAGCTACTGCAACGCCTTCATACTAGACTTTCAACTTCATGCACATCTCTGTCAAATGATTAAGCACATGTCCAAAGATATGTATTCCTGCCTATAATGTCTTGTTTGGAAACAAAGTAGTAGGTAATTTCAAAGTTTAAAGGATTATGAAAAAAAGATGACAACTTTGACAATAATGGCAGTATCAAAAGTTCTCCTCTTAGTTTTCTAGTATTGAAAATCATTGCATTTCTCTATTTGTGTGCTCTATACTGCTTTTTATATTTTCTTGAGTTCTCTTTTCTTCTTTCTTCTTGAGCAGGAGATGCAAAACAAAGATCCATAAGAGCTCACCTGCTGCAGTTAAAAACATCAGATTATTATTATTTAAAAATATACTTTCTTCACCATTTTCCTGTATTATCACTGATTGTATCATGTCCAGTCCTCAGTCTGTTAAATTCTTGTGACTTTCAAAGGTTGTATGCACTGTTTGGTTTATGAATATTCCCTGGGACATTTTTTATTGCAAATAATGATGTCTGTTTCTCAGTATAGATTGTCCACAGCAGCATAAGCCATTGTTTTGTGGAAATCAGACTCTGTCTGTATGTCTTAGGAAAATAAGCAAGCTAAAGGCACTTAGTTTTTAAGTGCGTACTGGTTTGTCTGAAAGCACTGTTTCACTGATTTTGTTTGATCCTCTTCATAGTATCACACAAATTCACTTCAGAAGGAATAAGAAGCTTATGTGTTAAATATAGCACATTGTGAGGGGAGCAGTTTCAGGATGTTCAGAACTTTGAAGAACTGGATCACTAAATTATCCCTAAAGTAAAATGTGGAGTCCTAATTTCAGCAAAGTCCAGGACGTGTAGTGGAGTATGCATTGATTCCCATCTGATTAGTATGCAGAGCTGTACTACGAAATAGCCTGAAATGCTTCCCTATAGTATAATGCATCATGTGCATAAAACTGATAACATGTGTTCCTTTTTAGGACTTTCATTTCACTTTACAAATCCATTTCATACTTGTTATTAGATCCCTGTCTGGGCGCATTGTTGGAGGTGTGTGGTGGTTCTTTACCCTCATCATAATCTCATCCTACACGGCTAACTTAGCTGCCTTCCTGACGGTTGAGAGGATGGTGTCTCCAATTGAGAGCGCAGAGGATCTTTCCAAGCAAACAGAAATTGCTTATGGGACATTAGATTCTGGCTCCACGAAAGAGTTTTTTAGGGTAAGAATTTCTGCTTTTTTTAGATAGATCTGTGTTGCTTTAAAAAGGTCTTCACTCATGTAAATGTGTTTTCTCTAGGCTTTATTAAAAGGTTGCCATAAAAATGTGATAACGTGCAGCCTAACTCTCAAGTATAAGTGTTCTTGTTTATTCATTATGATTATACATTTTATTATCTATATATGAACATAAGGGTCATGTTGTAAATATGTCAAGCAAAAGTGACTGCAAGAAATTACCTAAAAAATATTCCACTGTAAAGTAGAAAACAACGTATGTTCAGAGAAAGGAGTTGATGTAGTTCATCTAAGCTGTAAGACAGGAGCTAACAATTATAACAAGGCTATTTAATATCTGTGCTGTATTTTAGGTAGTCATACAGTGAATAGGGACGTAGGAAGGTGCACAGTCATGTTTTAGTAAGTATTTCACATGATTTTTCAAGCTTGCAGATGGGGAATGGGATACAACCCTGTTGGCTGCTGTAGCAAATCCATGCCTGCTTTTGAAAACAGTTACTATTTGTATTTGCATTACAGTAGCGCCTTGGAAGCCTCTCAGTCCTCACCTTCTGCCTCTGTGTATTTCAGTTTTAAAAATGCATGAGACTTCCAGTGTGTGAGTCTCGGGCTGCCCTTGAGACACCAGCTAACATGGTGAAATCTATCCAGCAAAGGAGTGAGACACTAAGGCCACTGGGAAAAACACCGTGACTGTGTTGCCTCGTCTGTGTGCTCTCTGTGTCTTTCCCTGTAAGGTGGAAGTGGATCTGAAGTGCTACAATTACAAAAAAAATTATTTTCATGTTTTTCAATGGATGATAGTGTTAGGTTTAAACAAAATGGTTTTTTAAATAGTTGTAAATATTACGTATACATTTCAAACATAGCCTGTTATGAAAGTGAAATGGAGCAAGTTCTCACAAATATATTTATGTAGTGTGCAGTTAGAGCAGTAACTGATAGATGATGGTTTTCACTAGATCCTGTAATGCATACTTAACTGGTAACGTACTATTAGGAACCATCCGTGCTTCAACTGTAGAAAGCCTTAGTTTTTTATTTTTATGATAGGTCCAGTAATAACACCTACTGCTGATTGCATTCCTGTTGGCTAAAGCAAAACTAACATCAGGTGTGTAAGCTAGCAAAAATGAGATCAGGTCTGTGCTAAGAGTGTTTAGGAACGTTTAGAAGCATACAAGCGTGTGTTTCTAGTTTGGTGAGCATAAACCTTTTAGATCATGGCTGTACTGAGGATTGAATGTGAACTAACTAGGTCAGTTCTTTTGAGTAGTTTCTCTTCAGAGATTTTTAGGCTTTTTTTTTAAAGCAAAGCTCTTTTGTATGTACATGGATCAATATATAGTTTTTATGCTTCTAGCACATAATATACATCTTTCCAATTACACTTTTACACAACTAGTGTTTCTGGTGATTACCTGAGCATTGATAACTTATTTTTGTAAAAATCAAGTAGAGGTTTTGTGAGGAGATATTCTTCACCTTTTGTTAAGTTAGGTTTGGCTCTGCACAAACAAGGCTATAATGATCTCTGGAAATTTATTCTCAGCAATTTCTGTCACAAATGAGTTGGTGCACTGTATGTAACGCAACTTCTTAGCCTCATGGCTCTATCTACTATTTGCTAAAACTCATTTAAACTTGCTCAGTTATTTTTTTAAAAAATAACAGCTGTTAGAATGTCTTCCTAGGAGATGTTAAATTCAAGATTCAAGAATTAAACTCTCTCTGCTGAAGGCAATGTGAAAGCAGTCTTTAGCAGTAAAGAGACAAAAATTTCCCCTAGAGTATTTTGTATGGTGACTAGATTGGATGTGTGATTTTTATATGACCTGAAATTAGGACTCAGATTCTTTGAACAGCTGGAAATAACTTTTTTCTAGCAGCAAGCTAAAGTAGACTGGCTTTTTCTCTGTCACTGTCCTGAATTAAAAGAAGCATTTAGTTTCTTTTTACCATTAGTCTATTTTCTCTTTAAGAAGTGGCATTATTTGCAAGTTTCTTTTCTACTGATGGAATGTATACTGGTTCTAAATCTTCAGTAGTGAAACCCTAATTCCTGTAAAAGCACAAAGTTAGGAATTGTTGTATACTGGGGATGAGAACAGTAAACTGAATTTTCTTTGGTACTAAAACAAGTTTTCTGGTAATACTTTGCATAAATGAGAGATGTTTCTCAGCATTTTCCAGAAAGGAATTCTCAGCAATAGGCTAGACGGTGAAAGTTATCTGGAAAATCCTGTCCTGAATAACTGAATATATGTATGCGACATTAATTGAAAGAGGTGGGTTTGAGTCTTTGCCCAGCTTCTATGACTGCTTAAATGATTTGAACTCATTGAGATGTTACGTTAGCTTGGATATGTCAGGGATGTTGCGTTAGCTTTTTCTGCTTTGTTTCAGAATTCTAGTCTTTCAGCTGCCTATGGTAGGTACACACCAGTTCCTGTCTGCTGTGGCTGTGGCTGGATGCAGTGGCTAGCATGGTGAACAGAGTAATCCAGATGCAGGTTAGAAAAACCCCGGTGGAGGAAAGATAGTGGCTCTCCACAAACTCTACAGAAGGTATGGGAGTCGGTGTACAAGCTAGTCCATACCACTTGACTTCAAGATAACAGCCATGGCACTCATGACAAAAGGTGTATTGCCTTTGCACTTTCCCCTGTTTTAGGTACATAATTCCTAGCTTTAAAGTAGTACAGACCAGCAGGTAACATTCTTGCCCACAGTGAATAGACCATAAATTGGCACTGAATCAAGAAACATAACTGCAAGAAAGGGGTGAAAAGGCAATTGTACTCTAGTGTTCCTAGATCTGCTTTCAGATGAGAAGCAGAAGCTTGGTGCATCCTGCATAGAAAATAGCAGTGCAGAAACAATGGATTTGAGAGTATTCTGAAAAGAAAAAAGGTAATGAGCTTTGAGCAGTAAACATCACCAGAAAACTGTTACTTCTTAGTAGTAATGTTATCAATACACCATTTTTCTTTAATAGCAGATCCATCAGGTCTCTTGGTTATGTATTTGTAAATACCAGAAAGTGTAGTAGTTTTTCATGTGAAATCTCAAAGCTGCTACTAGGAGAACTGTGAATACGATCCAAGTCTTCAGAGTTCTATTCCACTGAGTCGGGATACTTACCACTTCCAATACTTGCTAGTGCCTCTGCCTTAAGGGTAGTGCTTTTAGAGTTCTTAGAGCAACTGAAAGCCTAAACAAAGATATATAGTGTATTGCTGTTGCATATTCTCTTGGGTTTACAACCTGAAGTAACGAGCAAAACATTGAAGAAAATGTGTGTGGCTGTGGTTTTCCAGAAGGTTGTCATATTTATCAAATCAGTAGTGGATTGTAGTGGTGAGAATGTGAATAAGGACTGCAAGCATACCTCGGAAGATCCAGGAGTCATTTCAGTTGATCTTGTGCAGGTGCATCATCTTTATAATTGTCAGATCACAGATAGTACTTGATGGAGTCGTAAATGGTGGGGCAGTGGAATTTCGCCACTCCAGTATGTGGTGTTGACACTGTCCACAGTCACACAGTATTTTTACCTTCAGTGATTTCTCAGCAGTTGCTGTAAATACAATTGATGTGTGCATTAGCCAAGACACATAGTTGAACTAGTCACTAACCCAAGACGACAGACTACTGCTCACCTGACACTGCAGACATTAATTTTAAAGCACTGTCTATATGTGTTAATTTCCGAAGTTACCTTGCTTACTTTCATGGGCTACAGCACTGGAAGAAACAAAGTACAGCTGCGTAAGTATGCAAGCTTAACATTCACTGGGGTGTTTCCATGCTTTCCACCTGCTTGAAGGCATATTGAAAATTAATATCAATGTGATACAAAGAGAACAAAAGCTAATTACTTTTACAATTCAGTCATGTTTTTGCTTTATGCTTAGCTCTATTCATCAAAAATACATGCAAACCTGATAGACAAATGAAATCAATCATGCTACCTTTTTTTTTCACTTTAAAAGATTAATTGTAACTAGTCCCATGTGTAAGGTAAGAAGGCATCTCAAAAAGAAAAAATGACATGCAGAGCAATAATTAAACTAATTTACATTCTATCTGCGTTAGTTTTTTATTTAAAATCTTTTTATATGTACCTAATTTTGGACCAACAGTGTGACGTGGACAGAACAATCTGTTTCATTCTATTTTGGTGGCCTCTAAGAGTAGATCCTCTGCCAAAGAAAAAGCAAGCAGAACTGCTCCATAACAAAGAAGTATTCTTCAGCTTTCACTGAAAAGACTATGCAGGAGTTGCTTATTCTTGCTTAAGAGGCAAGAGTTCTACAATGAAAAGCTGGTCATGGGAAAAATGCTGGAATGATGATAATCCTTGCTATCTTGTAAAGAAGTGCTCTTCCATAGCAAAAAGCCAGCAACAAATGTAAGAAGAGCTGACATGACCCCTTGGGTTATTTCTCCTGCGAAAGGAGAAAGGCAAAGAAAATTCAGCCTGAAGGGTAGTATTTTGTTTTCTAAGGATCTTCAGCACAGTTCAGTGCCTCTAGATTTATGAGTACTTGATATGTTTTTTTAACATGCAAAAAGAGAGAAAGCATACAGCAGTCTATCTATGAACCTCAGTCTGTCTTTATGCTCATAAAGATATTCAAGCTTTTAAAAAAACCCCACAGGAAATCTCTAAAACCAGTGAGAAGAGAAGAAGCACTCTGATTTTTTTTTTTTTAATGGAATTGGGATAAAAAATTATGAATGATACCTCAGCCTCAGTTTTTGAAGTTTGAGATGTAGACGAATTATAGAACATAGTTTTGCAGAGTTAAATTTTGACTAGGTCCACAGAAACCTTTGGGAGATGGAGACAAAAGACTGGGCTATGAAATCTTCTGTAACTTTTACCATGGACTCTACTTGGTACCTTAAGAGGCAGGGGCTATAGGACTGCCATTTAATGTATTTGTGAAGGACATGGGATTAGAATATGGGTTC